ATACTCATGTTATTTCAAGCTTACCACCAACCTTTCTCCTATATCCGAGCATGGGGCAGGCGTTAACCCTAGAAGTGCTCCAGGAGGATTGTGTTATTTTTGGTCATCAAGTTTTATTTCACCTATTAGAACAAACTCGTTATCACACTGACTAAATTGTTGAGTGAAAAAAAGTTTTTATCGATTAAAAATTTCCCAATAACTATTGTCAACGTAACTTCTTATTCTAAGATATGACTAAGAACATCCACTTCAGTGAAATCGTGCGATTATACCTAATTTCTCAGCATAAACGTCATAATACAACTTTAATACTCAAATACAACTAATAACTGGTACTGGTGTCAGTCAGTTGCAACGTAGAACTTCGTACGTATGTACATAAGTTCATGTTGCCATACCATATTAGCACAGAGACACAAATGTCAAATCAAATCACATAGTGATAAAGATAGTAGAGGTATTAATGGTAATGAAGAAGACAAGGGTTTGAAGATATTATTCAAGAAGTATAATTCGGTGAAACAAGTTCAGAAAAACAAAGGTATAGGTGCTGACAAATTCAGAAGATTAGGATTTGAGAGAGCTCAAAGAATGGATGCACTTGCGCCATTGTAAACGATTTTGAGCTATGTCGTTCAACCGTTGGTGACTTTCGTCTTGCGGATCCCAACCAGATTGTCGACACTTACCAATATGACTCAGTCCACTTGTCAGTGACTTCATGGATTTCTGCCATGTTTTGGTCTAGCCGCCCCTAGCTTTCTCCCAACCTACTCCTACACCACAAAACGTAGCTCGTCGAGGCAGTCGGTGGTTAGGCATACGTAACACATGTCCCAACCACCTCAACCGATGAAGGTTCAATACTTCATCTACCGATCTGCTATCCTTACCTAGTACTCGTTCCCCAACGACAGCATTGCTTACTCGGTTGTCCCACGATAATTGGTACTGGTGAGGAGATTGTATGAAGTTGTATCATTTGCAATCTAGACACTACTCACATTCATGATTTATTATGTAGTTCTGTTTAAATTACATGGAATACCAACTGAAAGGTTTGTCAGATTGACGCCTGATCTTCTCTTCTAAACCCCTTTATTAAACCCAAACTGAATATAAACTATAAGAAGAAGAAAACGTAGCGGAATGCGTAAAGAACGCTTCACACTGAGGTTGGTTTATTCACAGAAAATCGAGAGTAATAATGGTCTTGCATCTAACTTCAGGTTTCTGGAAATTTCCGAAACCTTTTTTCAAAATATAGCATTGGTATAAGTGACTATTCACTCGAATTCAGTGCACTTGTTTCTCCACTTTCTAGGCACTAGTCGACGTTCACTGCATTAAGAGTTTGCGATTGTTTTCTATGCCTCTGTAGATTTTTCCTAGGTATGTTTTAGCACCCTCCGACCTATTCGACATATTTACTTAGAGGAATACCTGTTTTCAAAATGTTTTTCCAAGTTATTGTTCCCCGTATTTTTGAAAAAATCCATACCACCATTTACAAAATAATCAATACGAAAATAGTTACTTTCATTTAATTTTATTCATTGCGGGGTTGTTGTGAAGATTGTTAAGTTTTATTTGTAACCATGAATCGATCAATGTTAGACCGCCATTAGAAACCTGGAAGCACTGAGGGATGCAGGAGTCGTGGGTGCGCACCGCTGATGAGTCCCATACCAGGACGAAACGGCCGTCCAGTGCTTCTAGGATTCTAATGGTGGTCTAAAATTGATCGATTCATGGTTACAAATAATAATTTTATTCAGTTTGGGTGCACACTATTGTTGTTTACCGACAAAAGATCTTGTTTATGATTATGCTTGCAATGTAATGCTGTTGTTCATAAACAGATTTGTTCATTTCACATTAATTATATCTACCATTCAAACCACACTTTGCAGACTAAGGAAAGAAATCAGAAGACCGGATAGGACAAACAATTTATTTGAAGGAGACACTTATAGGAAAAAGTCAACTTGCAAAACAAGCGTATTCTAAGCTATCTTCTTCTGCAAGTCCTCTATTTCTGAATACACCCAGAGTGTCCTGTAAGTTTTTATTCAATACTTCTCTCTCGGGCTGTAACTTCAGGCTGATATCTAGCTGCAGTCCTATTGCATACTACTTATCAGCCCTGTTGTGAGTAGAACATACTGTACTAGTAATCGGATTATTGGTAGAAACTAGTGTTTTTAGTTTATTTCCCTACATTGGTGATCTAAAAAATTTAGAACAGTTTAAGTACATTTAGTAGCTTGAAATATTACAACTTTGATATATTTCCAAGTCTTTTTTCACGTGACTACAGAACAGAATACAAATTGTTAAGTTTCAGAGACTAGTTAGGATAAGTGACTTGAAATTTCAACTTATACGAGAGACTAAAAGTCGTGAGTTCGATTTCCGCTAGCAAGGTAATGAATGGGCATTGCTGATGAGTCTCATACTATGACGAAACGGCCGTCCAGTACTTGAAGTTTTTCAGTAATGCTCTAACATTGACATACATTTAATAGCTTGAAATACTACAACTGTAATGTATTTTCAAGCCTTTTTATAGGACTGCAGAATAGAATTATTAGGTTTCAGAGACAAGTTAAGATGAATGACTTTAATTTTCATCTTATAAGCGAAACTGAAACTCTTGAGTTCGATTCCCGCTGGTGAGGTGAGGAACACTCATTGCTGATAAGTCTCATACTAGGATGAAACCGCCGTCCAGCACTTCATACTTTTCAGTAATGATCTAACATTAGTCGATTAGTAATTTCGACTAAACTTAACGATCTCCACGACTCTATAATAAACTTGATTTTCTGAATAAAAGCATATTGTATATGACCACTATGGTTGATAAAGTGAGTCGAATAAAACTTGAGTTGGTGCAATATTTTAAACTCCTTACTTTCTGAACTATGCCCTACAATTATTAAACTTAACCTTTGTTAACCGTAAAACATCTACTGTAAAGTTAATTATCATGTGCACTTATATATCGAGCCCACATGGCCTATTTTAGCTTTCGGACAAGCCAGTTAAATGATTGTTCATAATTCACTCGTATTTCGATCTCGTCAATGATCCTCTTATAATTTTGTCTGCTTTTATTTGTGTGTATGCGCACATTACTTACTTTGCTTATCACATGTCTAACTTATTTTTGTCTGACTGCAAGTAGTTAGTTATGTCACATCAAATAGATTCGGCACATTTGAATTCTCCTCTTCACTGTGTTTTACTTCGTTTTTAGGCTTTTCGTTACTGTCTGTCTGTTATGCATATGTATGATATTAGACAATAGGTTTATTTCATTTGTGTAATGTAGGCGTCCGTCCAAAAAGTAGTAATATTCCCGACCACTGACTTTGTACTGGCTTCGACTGTTTTATAGTTACAGATGAGATATTTTCAATAAAACCAGTCAATATATTTAGAAACATTTACTATTGATATCGGATTCGTTGGCCAGACACCATCAGTAACAACGTACTGTGGGAGAGAACAAACCAGATTCCAGTGTAGGAGGAAAACAGGAAGAATCGGTGGAAGTGGATAGGACACACACTACGAAAAGCAGCTAACTGCGTCACAAGACAAGCCCTCACATGGAACCCTCAAGGCAAAAGGAAAAAAGGAAGGCCAAGGAACACATTACACCGAGAAATAGAGAAAGACATGAGAAGAATGAACAAACATTGGACAGAACTGGAAAGGGAAGCCCAGGACAGAGTTGGTTAGAGAAAACTGGTGGGCGGCCTATGTTCGATTGGGGGTAACAGGCGTAAGTAAGTAAGTAACTATTGATAGCATTTCAATAGGCGTAAGGAATGCTTATTTTTTCTGACATTAGAGAGAAATTGTAAGTAGATATTAATTATAATTTGGGTACATGATGTTAAACCTGACACACTTTCTTCTGACTACCATATATTAGAAAATTCTTAGTTCAAGCAAATAAAACACAGATTATTTAGTTTTTTTATTTAATTTTACGCAAAATCTTGTGTCAGTTGGATAATATTCAGAGAAATATGATGTACCAAGTTCAAACTGTTCCAACACTTCATATGTGAAAAACTTTGAATTTTCTGCTTTCCTAATTTCACAGTGTCACAGTTTAAATCGCAAACTAATTTTAGATATTCTACCATTTAAAACATTAACACCATTGGATTCTGGATTCGTAGTTTACAGACTCAATGTTCACGAGCAGAACTAAAGTTCTTGGGTTTGATTCTAAAGTGGGGAGTCATGGACCTGCACTCTGGAGGACTCCTATACTCGAAAAAATGATCATCTAGTGTTTCTAAGTTTTCAGTGACAATTTAGCCAAGATCTTTTCATGATTTCAACTGTTAAAATACTATAAGCATTACAAATCTGCTGTACTAATGATTTCAGATTTGTCAGTTAGTCATATTAAATGGTCGCATTTATAAATGTTTCAAATTAACAAATGGACAGCAACATTATAAATGTGAATGTAGATTTTGATTTCTACACTTTGGAGTTACATTACTAACTTGCTTGCTTACGCCTGTTACCCCTGACGGAGCATAAGCCGCCAACTAGCGAATTATTTTACCTGGTTAGCGTTTTTTGATGATTTGGATCTCTTCAGGATGGAGTCGCTAACCCCATGCCCAATGTTGCTTCTTTATCCAGCCTTAGGACCAGGAGTAACCTCAACAGTACTCCAGGCGGAGTTAACTACATCATTTGCTTAATAAATAAAAATAATTTTAATCAAAATTTTACTTTCAATCTTCCATACTACTGTTAAATGTAATCAGTAGAAGATAATGGTCAGTCAAATTTTTTTTTATCATCAATCAAACAAATAAAAATTTTGAAAATTAAACAAAGCGCTTATCAAATTCTTGTTTTTTAATCAATATTCAATAGCTAATCAATATCCATTCGTTATGAATTCAATCACCAATACACCGGTAAATTTGAATTTTGTAAAATGTGATGCAACATATTTATTGTAATGGTTCTGTTACACGAGCTGCAAACAATGGAAGTTTTAATGTTTTATCATAGATAAAACAAATAAATGGATGTAATACATGAAACTCAATTGGATTTTTATATGAATGTAATGGAATAAACATTGCATTTGCTACAGATCCAGCTTCAATTCCAGTCTCATCTACGCGAATAACATTTTTCTGTTGAAAAGAAGTAACATGCATTCGCCATTGATTTGTTATACCTGAAAAACAAAAGAAAATATTTGAGAAAAAATATTATTTTATGAAAATATTTGATCATTAGTGGATTTAAATAACTTTGCCTGTAGCCCTTCTGGGGTTACTGCCGGTTCCAAGACTGAATAAAGGAGCAGGGGTTGGACATGAGGTCAATGACGTCATCTCATAAAAAAATTAACTCTGTTAAAAAAACGCTAAGTAGATTGAAATTTTAAGGAAAAAAAGGGTTTTAAGAAAATAGGGTTACTAAATGAAACGGTATCAATTAAGAACAAATTATAAAATACATCTCATGTTATGTTCAAGTCTCAAGTGTAAGCATGTTAACTCTCCTGGAGCATAGACAGCTTACCAGGATTCTCCAACAATCATGTTATGATGCATATTTTAATAATTTCAGTGTTTACTTTTGAGAAGTCTGTTAAATGAAAGCTTGATCTGGTTTCATAGTCGTCTCCAACCATCCCAGAGAGCAAGTCTAACACATGAGGAAGGGAGTTAAATGCGAAAACAAAGCTTTACACTGTGGTTGACTTATTTACAAACAATCGAGAGCATTTATGATTTAACATATAACCTTGGGTTTATAGAAGTTTCTGAAACCCTGCAAAATATATTACTGGTATATATATATATATATATATATATATATATATATATATATATATATATTACTGATTGTCCAGTCGAATTCACTACATGTGATCTTTCGCTTTCTAGGCGCCGGTCGACGCTGATTATATAAAGTGTTTGATGGATGGAATGAATTTGAAATAGGGCTCACAATTACAGTGGCCCGTGATGACTCCGATATTTAGGAATAGTCAAATATGATATGAAATAAATCTCCTCTTCAGTTCCTCTATATCATGCTTAGGGAAACCCTGTTTGTGAGACAGATACTGATTCTGTGTGATGAGTTTATTTTAAGCAATCCTTCGTGCGTTTATTGAAGCATACAGATGAGAATGAAAAGCATGTAGGCAGAACAAATCGAAATGGAGAAGGCGAACGAGCCAAATTCCATCCTCTGAAGCATGATTAGGCATTTACAGTCAGACAAAAGTAAGCCAGACCTGTAAGAAACGAAGTAAGCGGTGCACGCACACTCGAATAGAAATGACCAAGATAAAAGTGAATAGTTGACAAGGTCAAAAGACGAGTGAGTAGTAACTCGAGTAGAATAGATCAGTTAATTTGTCCGAAGGTTGAAACAATGTCTGTGGGCTCGACGTAAAAGTACCCGCACCGCCAGTGTTTGTAATCATTTTCTGGGCTACCATAGACCTTTCCGAGGGATACTACTAATAAACTTCATGTTTACATTTTAGGTTGTAGAAATCAGTGATACACAGTATGATATAACTTATTTGATTAATGAAATTATCGATATTACACTATGATGAGATAAAATTTTCTTGATTGATTTAAAATTCTACTGATTTTAATAACAATAATCGGTCATAGAATTTCACACGACTTCTTACGACCCCTTTACATATATTACTTCATACAGTTTACTTCAGATTCATGTCTTCATTTTCTTTTGTTGTTTTAAACAAATCAAAGTATAATAAATTGAATATTGAATGTTCAAATAATTAACCTGAAAAATCAGCTTTCAGTGGATTGAAAATATCATGAATTCCAAGTTGTTTAAGTGTTTTCTCAAGATCTACCAATGTTTCTAATTTGAATTTGGGGAGTTTCAACGAAACTTGTTCATTCTTTAACTTTTGAATATAATTTTCTAGTAAGTTATTTTGAATAAGAAATAGTGATGTGTAATTTGCATTCCATTTGTCTTTTGGTAATATTACAATAAATGTAAATCTTGTATTCTATAAAAATTAAAATTAAAAAAACAAAAATTCAAAATTCTGATGCAATAATCAATTACAAAAATGATGTGCTCACCAATCGATATGCTTAAATTCTATTACGAGTTCACGTTGGTCGGTAAACGGAACGAACATCAACGATACAGTGAAACGATAGGCTATGCTAATCCGTTTGTCCCAGGCCCTGATAACTAGATCAAGATGTCTTGATTAAGTAAAGAGAATGTATTCTACAAACACCCAGAAAATACGAGGATCTATGCACACAAATCAAGTTTATTTATACAATCATAGGAATGCCCTTGATGAGAGCCACAAAATAGCTTATTAAAATAATCCATCAACCAATGATAGTCAAGGATTTTCCGATTGGGCAATGTGAGTTGTAGGTCAACTATGCGTCTCTTTGTGCCAAATCATAGAAATTCAAATTTTCAGAAATAAATTACACAATTAGGACCTTTTCCAAAGGAGTTTTAGGGATCTAACGTCCCCAACAAAAACAGAATTTTTATTTGATGAAAACGTCTATATGATCCGTGTACAGAATTCTGATCTTGAAAATTGTCCACCATCTTCACTAAAGCTAAGAAAGTTCCATATATGTACAAAATCTATTTCTAATCAGCTGTATTGTGTGTATTTATTATTCATCGCTTCATGTCTCAATTTCTTGATGTTAAAAACAGTGATAGAACTATTAATATATCAAAACATTTGATTAAAGCATTATTAACTTCCTATGAAATGCATTTGTTTGGTAAACAGAGTTCCCTTTTTTTATTTTGAAAATTAAAGATTAGCACAGAATAATTTGAACTCATTTTTATTTCGTTTAGTTCTCTCCATCAGTCAGTCAGTCAGTCAGTCAGTCAGACAGTTGCAACGTAGAACTTCGTACGTATATACATAAGTTCAGGTTGCCATACCACATTAGCACAAAGACGCAAATATCAAATCAAATCCCATAGTCTTAAAGATGGTAGAGGTATTAATGGTGATAAAGAAGACTAGGGTTTGAAGATATTATTCAAGGAAGTACAATTCAGTGAGATAAGGTTAGAAAGACAAAAGTAGAGGTGCCGACGATTCCAGAAGATTAGGATTTGAGAGAGCACACCAAATAGATGCATTTGCGCCATTGCAAACGATCTTGAGCCATGTCGTTCAAGGTCTCTAACCATTGGTGACTTTCGTCTCGCGGACCCCAACCAGGTAGTATACATCTACCAACATGACTCAGTCCACCTGTCACTGACTTCATGGATTTCTGCCATGTTTTGGTTTGGCCACCCCTAACTTTCTTTCAACCTACTCCTACACCACAAAACATAGCTTGTCGAGGCAGTTGGAGGTTAGGCATTCGTAACACATGTCCCAACCACCTCAACTGATGACGTTTCACCACTTCATCTGTTGATCTGCCATCCTTACCTAGCACCCGTTTCCTAACGACAGCATTGCTTACTCGGTTGTCCCACGGTATACGAGCAATGCTTCTTCCACGGTGTGGGCAGCCGTGAAGTGATAACCGCCCTCATACCCGTAACAGCACACAAGACCAAATTGGTCAAAATCAAATCCTTCCTACACCCCCTAATACGTCTCTTATCTCCACGACTAACTCTTCTCTCCATCAGCTTGCAGACAACCTAAAATGTTTTAAATCAAAATTATCATGGAAATTCATATACTCATAAATATGATGGTGACTCGAGTAATGTATGATGATGTTGTAAAGTATTCAATAAAGTTTATCAGGTCATAAAAAATATGTTACAGATATGTGAAGTAAGAGAGGGAAAGTTCCAGGATATCGAACTAGTGATCAGAAATCCAGCCGTTAACGAACTTTAGATGACTGTGTAACGAAGTAAAAGGAGTTCAAATCAGTCAGTTAGAACCCAAATTGTGAACTTGAGTTCACAGTGCATAAGAAAGGGAGTGAAAATAAAAGATGATGTAACAGAATGAATATAAAAAAAGGTATATTACTTTTTTCATTTAGAGTTATGGAGATCGTTGTTTTTATACAATGAACTCATGAATCAATCATTGTTAGACTACTATTGGATACCTAGAAGCATTGGACGAGTTCCATACCAGAACGAAACGGCAATCCAGTGTTTCCAGGATTCTAATGGTGGCCTAACAATAATTGATTCATGATTTCAAAGGCATGTCACTGTTTCCTTATGAACATATAAATTTGACTTCAGATAGCTATTATTTCTATTATTCTGAAACAATCTTTTTTTTACTCCCCACTCATTATTGATTTGCTCTGGTTTAACATGAGCAGGATTTTATGACACCTATATTCTCGTTTCAATAAATAAAAAAGCATAATTTATTGAACTGTCTATCTGAATATTTATAAAAATAGACAATTTACGGTTGTGTAGTTTATACTACTTAAAAACTATAAGTATAGTTTATTTTTACACATTTGAAATTATGAATCGATCAAAGTTAGACCACCATTAGAAACCTGGAAGCACTGGACGGCCGTTAAAAATCTTCACAATCCCGTAATGTGATTACATGTGCACGCTAGTGACTAGCTCCGTGAGGAATCTTCTTCGAGTTCTACTGGGAAATTGTGACCAGTAAAGTTCAACCTGTTAGGGTGTAGACAGAAACTACCGAAGACAGTGTATGAGGTTGCACAACTCCGTGAATTAATCGAAGTTAGACATTAACAGTATTGGATACCAGCTCAGTGGTCCAGAGGTTAGGAGTTCACGCGCAAGACCGAAGGTCCTGGGTTCGAATCCTGTGGATGTCAGGAGTCGTGGATGCGCACTGCTGATGAGGTACATACCAGGACGAAACGGTTGTCCAGTGCTTCTGCGTTTCTAATGCTAGTCTAACTTTGATCGATTCATGATTTCAAATGTGCAACCTAACAATCTTCACAACCGTGTAATGCAATTTATTTTTGGTCACACAATAATAAAAACCGAATTATTGTAAATTATCTTATTCTAATAAGTATATAGAATACTGGAAATAAAATAAAATCAATAAGAATTATATAAAAGCGTTGAATTTGTACAATTTTATTTTTTTTTTTCTAACCTTAAATGATTTACTAATCATTTCAAATCCTTCTGAATTAAAATCCGCATAGTCTAACTCTTCTTCACTGGACATTATTGGTACATAAATTTGACGATCGGATGATACTGAGAAAGTTGAATTTTCTGTGAACATTTCTATGAAAGGTACTTCCCATACATCTAAAGTAATTGAGAATTGATTAGAGTATAATCAAGAGAAATGTAGTATTGTACCAGTTTTCATAAAGTAAACAGTAATTTCACTAAAATCGTTAACCTAATTGATACATATATATATCGGTATGATTTGAAAATAATTTAAGTTACAGTCTGATTTTAACTGAATAAGTTTTAAAAACTAGGGAGTAATGGACAAATGTTCCATTCAAGTATGTGACTTTCTCAGAAAATAATATTCAAGATGATTTTAAAATATTTTGAATCATTTGGAGTTAAACATGTACTTAGTGAGATTGGTGGTCGTGGGATTGCTTGTAGGTGAGATTTTAGCTGGCTACTAGGGAAGAGTTGAATACCGTGATGAAAAAGCTGTGAGATATACACCGATTTTCAGTAAGTCTCTTGTTAAGACATATTCATAATGAGAACGATAAAAATTCAATGATTTTTACAAAACCTTTGAATAAGAGTAAGGAAATGTTAGATAGATAAGACAAATAGTATCAATCTTGAAAATATCATGAGATTCATTTTGAAAAACCGACTCACTACTAGAAGTAATAAACGTCATTATTAAGGAAACCTACTTCTACAAGGTTATAAATAAACAATATTTAACAGTCATATACTAAGAAGCAACAGCTGTTCAATAATTCTTGGTTTTCGATAGCAATTCAGTTAGATTAAGTCTGTGATGATAACTATAAAGGAATGCTTGCTTGACATCAATCAAGATCACTAAACATTTCGAATATATACAGAGACATCTATCTTTCGATACGGTCTAAGTTAGGTACTTGTGAACACTAGACTATGTCTATATTCTCATGACGGAAGTTAATGCTGGTATCAAAATTTGAGTGAATAGATTAATTTAAAAAATGTCATGGATATTATTGAAAAGAATACTTTGTTGAAAAATTCCTGTATTTATTATCTATCTTCATTTCATTTGAAATCAACTATTTTAAACATTGAATTACAGACTCAGGTTTCAGGATAAGTGATTCACCCTCTTACATAAAATTTTGTACCTCTTACTTCAGGCAATGAACGAAACTGTTTATTCATAATGTATAACAGAAATCAGCTTTATCAGTAATAGAAAATTCATTTATTAAACTCAATGCACCATACTTTACTTTGTATTTATTTACACCTGTTACCCCCCAATGGATTATAGGCCGCCAAACAGCATTCCCAGCCCTACTCTGTCCTAGTCCTTCCTTTCTAATTCTGTCAAATTGTTGCTAATTCTTCGCACATCTTTCTTCATTTTTAGGCGTAATGTGTTCCTTGGCCTTCCACTTTTCCGCTGGACCTGAGGATACCATGTGAGGGCCTTTGTTATGACTCAGTTGGCTGATTTCCTCAACGTGTGCCTATCCATTTCCATCATTTCTTCCTGATTTCCTCCTCCACTGGAATCTGGTTTGTTCTCTCCCACTTTAGGTTGTTGGTAATAATGTCTGGTCAGTGGATCCGAAGTATTTTGTATAGACAACTGTTAATGTACACTTAGATCTTCTGGATAATTGATTGGGTGGTTTTCCAAATTCCCACTCCATACAGTAGAACTGTGTTCACATTTGTATTGAAAATTCTGATTTTGGTGTTGCGATAGAAGAGCCAGGTCATCTGCGAAGTCTAGATAGCCCAGCTGCATCATAGTTGTCCAGTGTCTCCATGCTTCGCCCCATATATTGACGTCTTCATAATCCAGTAATACCATCAGGAGAAAGGGAAAGGGTGAGAGTAAGCAACCTTGCCTCACACCGGTCTTCACCTCGAAAGAGTCTGTCAGCTGACCTCCGTGCTCGATTTCGCAGTTGAATCCATCATAAGAATTCCTTATGGTGTTGACCATCTTCTCAGGTAGGCCGTAGTGTCGAAAAAGCCCTCCTAGTGTTTTCTTATCCATGCTATCAAATGCTTTCTCATAGTTGATGAAGCTGATGTAGAGTGATGAATTCCATTCAATGGATTGTTCAACGATGATCCGAAATGCTGCAGTCTGGTCAGAACACGATCGACCCTTACGGAAATCAGCCTGTTGATCTCGAATTTGTGCGTCTCACTGCATCATAGATATATTTATATAACGGAAAAATGATAAATATGAAAAACCATGCTAGAAAATTTGGTTTATCTGTTAAATTAGATTTGAATTCGCTCATTAATTATGGAAGTTCAATATTTTGATGAACAATCCATCACTTCACTCATTTATCTACAATGAGAGATCTGTTTAATGAAAATTTATCTCGAATTCACGTTATTGACTTCAGACATTTTCTCAGTTTCATTTTGTAAATTTGAATGTTTACGAGCTTTAAAACAACCATTTGTAATCTTATTGACGCTAGTAATATTGACAGTATGAAACACTGAATTATCTTTTTCAGAAAAATTCATGATATATCTGTTAATGAACATGATAGACTTAAATCGAATTCAAGCTTTTATTGTATCTACTGAGCACGTAATTCATAATCAAATCATTTAAAATATTCTTCGTTATCATGAATCGATCCATGTTAGACTACCATTACAAATCTGTAAGCACTGGACGGATATTTCGTCCTAATATGGGACGAATCCCGCAAGCAGGATTTGGACCTAGAACCTTCGGTCTCGCCTTAACCTTCAGACTACTAAGTTTAAATTCAGTCAGTCCATAATAATACACTACCTCATCCATTTTCTTCGGTGGGTAACTGAGTCACACCCACGATCATAGTGCTAGTCTAGCACGGATCGAGTCATGATTTCAGTGAACTTCAGTAGTTTCCACAACCGTATGATATAATCTCCATATTAGTTTATATTAAAAACAGAAATTCTATTACACAATTATTATTTACCTTTAAAATAGAAAACACTGAATAAACTCAATAACGCATTCGGTGGTATATCTTGTGGATGATTGAAAAATTGTGGTATTAAATTGTTTGTTTTATCGGCAATCCATTTATTGATTAGTTTCATGACGGTCAATTGATCAGCAAAGTTTACCTTTTCATACAAACAAACAAACAGAAGTGAGAAATAAATTTAAAAATAAGTCCAGGAGGTAGTAATTTACATTGTTATTAACGACATGATTTATTTTGATTTTTAAAACTCAATTATTGTTCATAAGTTGTTCACTGAAATCCACGACTGCCACATTACATCATAAATCAGCTTGAATTAAATATGTGGGATATGAAGTAAACATTTTTCGGTCTAAATTCATCATTATTTGTTAAGTAAATTCAACGTTCTTAATCTTATTTATATTTTTTCGGTAAATAACGTTCATCGTTTGGGAATATTGAATTAGTATAAAATGACCAGCAGTTCAGTCTTAACTGATTACGACCTTTTATTCGCTTCCTTCTCACTTATGACGCAGCTCTGTTCTTACTGTGATTTCTTAATCGTGTCTATTTGTGGTCAAGATTTTATTGTGACTCATTAGCAAACGTGTAAATTTAGAACAAGGCTGGGGAGTTTTCTGTGCTGGATGTTTTGATTGTGGAAATTTCATTGTTCTTTTGAACAACATTATCAGCATAAGTATTGAAGCATTTGAAAGCTCCACAATCAAAACATCCAGTTCAGATAACGAAACACTGTCACAATCATCTACCTGAGCTACGAAGTTTCTCCATCATCTCAAGGCTGGTGAGATTGTTGAATTTCATTGAAATCACAAACCGACTAACCACTGAAAACCTAGAATCACTGAACTGCCATTTTGTTATTCGTAATTTGATTGAGAAAACTGTACAATTTTAAGTCTTCATAAGTTGTGTTATGTTTTGTTTTAAATATCGAGTGAGAATGCATGGGAAAAGGACAGTACTATTAACGATCAATATTTGTTAAGCATTATTCTCGGCTGTTATTCCGAAAGTTATTGATACTAGATAGACTGACAGTCTGCGCAAATTAATCGATGCCCAGACTAGATATATACGACAGCATCCCTATTTTACTACCTGATCACATGAGCCCTAAACATAACAAAAAATATCCGTTTTTTCCTTACATATGAATTGATCAAGTTTAGACAGTGGTGTTACCAGAGCCTAGGTAATTGCAGAAGACAAGTAGAAATGTTTCATTACACAGAAAACTTTTAAGTTTTCCGTTTTATTGTTTCACTCTTGAAAAATAATTCCTAACACTGAAATTATCAATCAGTCATCGTTAGACCACCATTAGAAACCTGGAAGCACTAAACGGCCGTTTCGTCCTGGTATGGGACTCATTATCAGCGCGCATCCACGACTTCTGCTCCTCGCAGGATTCGAACCCAAGACCTTCGGTATTGTGCGCGAACGCCTAACCATCGGACCACTGGGCTTGTTCGAATCCTGCGAGGAGCAGGAGTCTTGGATGCGCACTGCTTATGAGTCCCATACCAGGACGAAACGGCCGTTTAGTGCTTCCAGGTTTCTAATGGTGGTCTAACAATGATCGATTGATGATCTCAAATGTGTAAAAACACAAACCTCCAAAAATTCTGCCCAAAAACCTAGAAATCACTGTATGAACATTTTTATGAAACATTTTGATTCTTTTCCTATTGACATATTCATTCCATACAATGAATAATCAGAACCTAAAATGTTTCTTATTGAATAATTTCAACTGTAAATCAATAATCACAAATTTAAACAAATTCAAATAGTTTACAAATACAAATTCTTCAGTGATCAAGATACTTGAATTAAAATATTTTCAAATTTCAACTTGTAATCTTTACTTGTTTTTGTATTGGTTTTATGTTTACAGGGAATCCTCAATAATCTTATTAAATAACTTACTCGATGTATAACTTCGCTGAAATGTTTCGACAGCAGATGTTCAAACTCTTCATTAATTTTCAATTCATCACTCGCATATATTCCATTAGCCAATGTAATGACTTGGGTCATTTGATCGTCAATAGATGTCATTTCACCAGATAATGATTCTAATGTTGATTTATATAATTGTACCGCATCTGATGAAAGGCTTTTCCAATTGTTATGATGATAGTTATCTTTGCCAAGAATTGCATTACCGATTTGAATGGATGTATTCATTCTAGGTCCACCGGAACCTAACAGAGTGCATAACATGAATAATACTCCGAATGGACATGTTACAAAATTTCCTTCTTCTGAAGAAAAAATAACACAACAATGAATAAGTATTAAGTAAGTAAGTAAGTAAGTAAGTAAGTAAGTAAGTAAGTAAGTAAGTAAGTAAGTAAGTAAGTAAGTAAGTAAGTAAGTAAGTAAGTAAGTAAGTAAGTAAGTAAGTAAGTAAGTAAGTAAGTAAGTAAGTAAGTAAGTAAGTAAGTAAGTAAGTAAGTAAGTAAGTAAGTAAGTAAGTAAGTAAGTAAGTAAGTAAGTAAGTAAGTAAGTAAGTAAGTAAGTAAGTAAGTAAGTAAGTAAGTAAGTAAGTAAGTAAGTAAGTAAGTAAGTAAGTAAGTAAGTAAGTAAGTAAGTAAGTAAGTAAGTAAGTAAGTAAGTAAGTAAGTAAGTAAGTAAGTAAGTAAGTAAGTAAGTAAGTAAGTAAGTAAGTAAGTAAGTAAGTAAGTAAGTAAGTAAGTAAGTAAGTAAGTAAGTAAGTAAGTAAGTAAGTAAGTAAGTAAGTAAGTAAGTAAGTAAGTAAGTAAGTAAGTAAGTAAGTAAGTAAGTAAGTAAGTAAGTAAGTAAGTAAGTAAGTAAGTAAGTAAGTAAGTAAGTAAACACCTGAATGGTAATAAAATTGTCTACTAATTGTTTGGTGATGATCGAATTTCAATTTTAAAGTTGATTAAAACAAAAATCATTAGTTGGTATAATATTCTTTAATTTGGATGATTTAATTTATAAAGGTTAAATGTCATTTTAAATATTATAACCACAGGATATTTCAAATCCAATGGCCTTATTCATGATCGGTGGTCTTTTGAAGTTTCATATATAGAATTAGTTTTGAATGCATAGTTGACTTCGCATTTGTGAACACTTTTCAGCTAAGATCATAAGTTGTAACCTAAATGGATCACAGAATCAATAGTGATTTATGCAAGATATTTCATGTCTGAATCCTTCAAACTATGAAAGTTATAAAAAATATTTGACTGGAATTTATCAGAGTCAGTTCTCGAGCATATAGACAATGTTTCAACTCTCTTTTTTTACCGTCTATTATTCCGCATCACTTTCAATTCTGTTAGTTGTATCGGTCATAGTTTCTTAGTAAAACCTCAAAAAATCATAACTTTGTGCTCAATTGTTAGAAGTTTTCAAACAGATAAAAAGAAGTTCATGAAAGCAATTACACTTAAATTGCCATACTTTTCAACAAAATCAATTGACATGAATGTTACGATCATTTTTCTTCAGAGCAGAAAATTAGTCATACAAATCTTTAAAAGTCATTACATCCGTATTTTTCGCAACATTGAGATTGCTGAAACCCTATTTGAGGACGCCAGATGGTGTTTCTGGAAAATACGTCCAGTTATCAAGGCATACAAACCCAGCGCGTGGTTGTGGCTTTTGAATAACCGCGACATTGAGGATATTGGTACGCGCAACACATCAGGAGTAAGTGTACATGACATGCATAACAGAAATACATGTGTTTTCACCTCATATATCTCATGAAATGCATATGGGCATACTTAGTCCAGATACCGGCTATACAGTACATGACATTGGCGACCATCAATCCAACCCAAATTGTAAATATACCTATTTGTATAGTAAGTGATCCATAGGTGATGACCCATAGGTAAATAACTAACATTTTCTACATTTTAGTAAACATTCTCAACTTAGAGTTCTTACTGATTGAAATTAATAGTATAATTACATAAACTAAAGACCAGTTTTAAATTAATTATAACTGATTTCAGTACAAATTCAAAAACCAATGAGTAGTTGTCTCATTCCTTAGTTATCATTACAACTACAACTCACAAGACAATATCAGCCATACTTACCTGCAACAGTTATTGAATTATTGATAAATGTTTGTGTAAAATAACTTGGATCATGCACCGGACTAACCGTACGAATACACATAATTGAAAATAATCTGCAAATTTACTCAGTATTTATTGTTATTTATACAGTTCTTTTCACTTGTGTAACAATTCTTTTTGTTCAAATATTTAAGACTGATACACATCATCGAACATAGTTGAATACAATTTAAAGTATAATATATAGATGACTAACTGGCTACAATAATAATCATAATAAAATGTGACCTTCCTTAACCGACTGATGTCAATATTCTTGTAAACAAAATCAGTACAAATGAAACAGGTACTTGATAAATAAATAATTAGTAAAATGTTGTTTACGATGTTTAAAAGTCAAAAAAAAAATTGTTTACATTCATAATTATGCATTTTCATAGTGGTGGTGATCACAAACTTATGTATGCTGAATCATCATTGAAAACATGAAGTAGTGGACAGTTATGCCGTTTTAACATGTGATTCATAAGGAGTGGGCGTCCTGTGACCTCTGTAACACTGTTGGATACCTGCCCAATGATATCCATAACTGTACATTATGCTCACTGGTGATTTGCTTGATAAGAAAATTCTTGAAGTTCTAGTGAGAAGACGTGACCAGCGGAGTTCATCCCTGTCGGATGTAGGCAGTAACTACCGAAGACAAATTGTTGTTAGGTCACGCAAAATCCCTAGATTGATCAGACTTAGAATTAGTACTATCGGATGGCGCCGACGTGGTCGAAAGGTCAGGCGTTCGAGCGAGAGATTAGGTGTCCCGGGTTCGAATCCTGCGTGAGGCAGGATTGTTTCACTGGTGATCTAACAATGATTGTTTGATGATTTTAGTGTGTAGGAACGCTAATCTCCATAACTCTAATGGAAAAACTCTGCATCCCTTTTGTCTGATTTACATTTCTAAATTTATGTTCGTGAGAAAAAAAACCTCAGCCGTGGAAACTGAAAAATAACTTTGATGACATTTCCCTTGTAACTCTAGTTTCAAGTATTTCAAAGATTATATATAACAATCATTTACTAAAGTGATTATTCACTGATGATGTTAAACAGTTGATTGTATACTTTCAAATGTATCCAATGAAATATTCAAAGTGTATGTCTATGTATTCAATTCTTATGTAGAAATCATTCTCTATGACTCAACATGATGTGAAGTGAACGAGAACACAGGTGGGGGCAACTGAATTACAGAGATACTCAGTAAAATCGGAAAACCATATCGTAAATCGTTAATTTGCAAAATATCAGTTCATCATATCGAACTGGACTGTTCCTGTTGCAAAACATCAATCCATTGTCACTATTCATGCGTTTCATACAAATTCCATTGTTTTCTAACTCTTCCTTTCTTGATCTTCCCCCATCTGCTGCTAGACATTACGTTGACACTCACGTCATATACTACTTATAAGTAGCTCGCACCACAGATGTAGTTAATTAAAAATAGATAATCAATAAATAAGCATTTTCGCGGGTTAAACCGATCAGAATAGTTGTGAAAAGCATTTGAAAAGAAATTGTAAGCTAAACAACCTAATGTACAATTATTGTTATATAAAATGTATAAGCTGAAATAAAGGGCGTGTTTGTAGTGAATTGAACAGCTATTAACAGCTTGATTTAAGCTCATTTAGTACAATTAATTGATACTTTCAACAATGAACAATCATTGACAATAATATATCGTGTTAACAGGCATTCGTCTAAATTTATGTAACTGATAATCTTTCAAATGACTGAAGAATTAATAGCTGTTCGAACCAAAAGGCAGAGGACTAGATTCTAGAGGACATTTGTTCAGCTGTTTCTTTTCTAATTTGCCAGCCTCTAATCCAATTAGTTCAAAATGATTTTAACGATATGTTGTTGCAATCTGATTCATGTTCATTGTAGCGGTTCGAGTCAAACAACAAGGTACCTCGTGTACTAGGGTAGAATACGCAGTACCGTGAGTTCGGAGAGCTGGAGAAGGTGAGATGACTATCCAGCAAACTCAGCAAATGCACTTTTTTTAAGAAAGATAGTGAGATGATTGAAATTATTTGTAGCTCAGGTGGACGATTTTGATGGAGATTTATTCTCTGAGCTGGATGTTTTGGTTGTGGAGCTTGCACTGTTCATTGAAACATCCAACTCAGAGAACGAAACTCTGTCACAATGAAGATAGTGTGATCACACAAGATTTGGATTCAGACAATCCGGAAAGTAAAACTAATAAAGATTTAAAACCTAAACGACCTTCCTCTTTACATATTCATATCTCTAAGATTTTTAAACATTCGGAAAGTTATTAAGCATCAATCTCGATTTATCAATTATCACCTATTACGTATGTTAGGATATTCATCCAATACCTTAAGAGAATTATTGGTCAGTTCCTATTGATTAATTCCTACTGGTCAATTTTATGGTCGTCCTACATATCAATGTCATGTACTCCAATGTTGCTTCCCATTGGTCGTCCTGACTATTAATGTCACTTCAAATGTTGTTTCCCATCGGTCACCTTAACTGACAATGTCACAGACGTCGATGCTGTTTCCTATTCGACCGAAATGTATAAATACGCATTATCTATAACATTCTATGACCAGGATCCGGTCCGAAATCCTTAGTCCGGGATGCTGATTCTCTTCTGGACTCGGACTTCGTACTTTCTGAACGCTTGTATAATACATGTTCTACTTCATATCAAGTCTTCTTCTTTTTACTCAATATGGGGGTTGAGACACTCGGATTAGAATAGCATGTCGTATCGCCGGATCCTCGCTCTTGTTCACTGACTAGAATAAACTCGTAATGATTCAAGCATATCAAATGACGTGTTACGTGCATGCGTAACAACATATTATTCAACAGATAACGTGATTCTTTATCAGATATTTCCTTTGATTTGTAATTAACAATTAGTTAGTTCTCTGAATTCATGATATCTACGTGTCTTCTGATCTTGTTTCTTACAATTTCACTTAACATAAAACTATACAATATAATATTTCATATTGATATTTCAATATTAACGATTATATGTCACTATAGAGTTGTGCAGCTTTTCGAGTCTCATTGAAATCGTGAATTGATCAATGTGAGATAACCATCTCAAACCTGGAAGTACTATACGGACATTTCGTCCTAGTATGGAACTCTTCAGCAGAGTATATCCACGACCGCAGTCGTGCAGACATCTAACAGTGTTAATTTTTTACTTTGATCAATCCACTGTCTTTCATAACTTCATCCATGGTCTTCGCTGATGAGTCCCATACTAGGACAAAACGGCCAAGTGGAGCCTCGAGGTTTCGAATTCTTATCCAACACTGATCGATTCATGATATCAATGAAACTAAATAATATTCACAACTCTATAATAAAAATCATTATTTGCTTTTTTAGACAGTTATTATAATCCCTTATCCATTTTCATGATTATGAGTTCGTGCGAAATCCCTAGATCAGTCAGAGTTAGACATTAACACCGTTGGATGCCGGCCCAGTGGTCCGATGGTAAGGCGTTCGCGCACATTACTGAAGTTCCCGAATTCGAATCCTGTGAGGAGCAGGAATCTTGGATGAGCACTGCTGATGAGTCACATACCAGGACGAAACGGCCGTTTTTCAGTGCTTCCAGGTTTCTAATGGTGATCTAACAGTGATTGATTGATGATTTCAAATGTGCAAAAACACTAATCTTCATAACTCTAATTGAAAATATATTTCAATTGTTAAAATGACCTTTGCGTTTTTATTGTCTTCATATCTGTCGAATGGACAATTTTCTCTAAAATATCTGACATTTAAATTATCCTCACTCGCCTATTCTTTCAACCCTTGGATTATTACGTAACTTTCTTTCAATATTTGAAATCTCTAATGATACAGTCTGTCCCATCCTTCTTTATATTCATCAAATAACTATAAATACGAGTATACAACTAAAGTAAATGATTTTATCGGAAAGAAAATATTCTTTTCAATTAGAGTTATGGAGATTAGTGTTTTTACATATTTGAAATCATCAGTCAATCATTGTTAGACCACCATTAGAAACCTGGAAGCACTGGATGGCCGTTTCGTCCTGGTATGGGACTCATCAGCAGTGCGCATCCACGACTCCTGTACCTCGCAAGATTCGAACCCAGGACCTTCGGTATTGTGCGCGAACGCCTAACCATTGGACCACTGAGCTGGTATCTGACGGTGTTAATGTCTAACTCTGATTGATCTAGGGATTTAGCGCGACCTCACCCATTTGGTCACGTCTTTTCTTTATTAAATTCTCTCTATTTGTATACACTGATTTTTAAAAGAATTTCCTCTGTTTCAGTCGGTTCTTTAGTGATTACCTAACGAATTTTTTATTTACCATGTTACTTGTTTATCAATGAAAACACTAAATTCCTTTCAAATTTATTCAGTTAATTAATTAGAGTGGTTTTATTGATCAAAATTTACTCACTTAAGATTTAGAGATTTACTGCATAATAGATTTGTAACTCTGACTACGTTTATCAGCCTATTAATATTATTAACTAAATGATAATGCAAAGATACTTTAAAGGAATTTTCATTACAAATTTTGGAAGATTGTTGACTGTTGGGGAAGTTAGATCCACAGAACTCCCTTGGAAATGGTCCTAAAACAATGATCCCCCTAACTCAATATGAAAAATAGTAATACACCTGTGTTTTATACTCATCCTGTTACATCATCGTTCATTTTCATTCTTTCCTATGGTTTGATTACGTCATTTTCATTTCTCTTAAATTCACAATTTCGATTGTAATCGAATGATTTCAACTCAATTTTTGGTTACTTCATTACACAACCATTTGAAGTGTGTTAACTGCTTGATTTTCAATCACTAGTTCGATATCTTGGAACTTTCTCTTTATGTTATTTGTAACATTTTTATGACCCGATGAACTTTACTGACTGCTTTGCAACATCATAGAACATCACTTTAAACACCTACATATTTATAAGTATGTCAGTTTCCGTGATCATTTAAACTTGAAGATATTAATAGGTTGCCTGCAAGC